CTTTTAACTTCTCACAGGACAATAATATTGAAGTAAGAGTGTTTGGAGAACAGTATGAATGTAATTGGTGGCATGAAACAGAAAAAACAATTCCCCGATGAATCATTTGTTATCAGTCATTTTATATTCAGATGCAACGACCTTTGATAACCTTGGTAAGACTTCTGGGCATCCAGTCTTTTTAACACTTAGAAATCTTCCAAATTGGCTTCGAAATTCTCCAGACTCCAAAGTTCTTCTGGGATTTTTGCCAAAATTTCAAAATACCATGGCTATAACTAATGACGCATTTCGAAGTTTTCAATGTAAGATATATTAGGCCACGCAAAGTTAATTTTTCGTTTTGCATATGACTTAGGGATTGGAATTGGTTCAGCTGACTATAAAATTATTCTACTATGTTTAGTCAACCAAATATAAACCAATTCCAATCCCTAAAAGTAACTTACCATCTATGACCAACTGTATTGTGTCTTCAAGCATAGATAAAAAACCATCGTTTAAAGATTCTTCAACCGACATATCACTAAAATTTTCATCGTTATAATGGCCCTGTTCTTCAATATCATCCTGTTATTGCAAAAAAAAAAAATTTAATTTATTTAATCATTTATTATTATTTAATACTGTAGATCAATTATACTATACTTCTTCCGTATTTGATGTATGAATTTCTGTTAACATTGATGGCCTTTCCATCCTCACAGCAGGAGTATTCCACAAATTCGTATCATGTTGAGGCTCTTCTGATCTTTGATGCTGATTTACATGACTAACTCTCCAACGAAGACTTCCTCTCTGGTGCTTCATATTCATATGCTGTGTCAACCCATATATAGTAATAAATCGTTTTGAGCAAACTCTGCAATTAAATGGCATTTTTTCTTAATCAACTTAATCAATTTAAAAATTTTGTGTAGTTAAAAAAAAAAGTTCTTGTTTTTGAGTAATACGATTTCGGAAATTCAAATTGTTAGATTCAGAGGTATAGATACATGGTTCTACTACAAAATAACGATATCCAAAATCTTGACAGGTCATAATACTGACATCGTGTGACGTGACAATTAAAATTAAAGATTGACAATGATTGTTAATGTAATTACTAATCTTTAAATATTAATTGTCACGTCTGGATTATGGTTTCGAGATTTTGGATGTCGGGACTTTGTGGTAGAACCTAGATAATATGTAATCATGATATGAGAAATATTAACAGATAGGTTGAGATCGAGTGATATCATTGAATTATGTCTTATCAGTTATAAGTAAATTTTTTAAATTTTTATCTAAGGCTTTTGCTTTTATCTTTAATATAATAAGTTTTATTTTCTCGTAAATTTTCAACATGAGTAGTAGAAAAAATAATAAAGTTTCCTCGAAAAAAAAAGGAAACAGTAACTCTGCCTCTATCGAGGCAGATCAGGAAGAGGAACAAGCTATTAATCAAACGAAATCTGTTTTCGGGATGATGTTGCTTAGCAGCAGTAACAGTAACTTTTTTTTTATTTATTTAATTATTATTTTTTTTTCTTTTTTTTTAAAACAAAAATTCATTTTTAATTTTTTTTTCAAATTAGAGTCAAACAAAACGACATCAATCATTGAAGGCTCTAAACCGTCCGCAAAAAGACAGAAACCCCTCTCATCTGCCTTCGAGGAAGAGGAACTATTCAATGATGAGGAAATGCCACACACATCTCAATTATCCCAAGACTCTGGAACCTCACGTGATCCTTTATCCATGAGCTTGGACGAACATGAATTTGCTCATTATTTGCCTGCGGAAAAAAAAAATTTGACAACTGATGATTTCAATTACAGCATAAATGTTTTGGATCAAAAGATTAATTCATTGTATCAACTATGTCGTTTAATATTAAATCAACAAAAAGAAATGTCAAAGCAAATACAAAAACTGATTGCATTTGATGATCTTTCCGACGGTTTTTGGAGAATGGCATACAAGGAAGTCGCAAAGGAACTAATCCCAGTAAATCTATACCCTTCCCCTAAGGAATATAGAGTTGCATTGGAAAATTTTTTGGCCGAACACACAGATCATTTTATTGATACTATTGGGAGGAGTGCATGGATCTCATATTTCAATGAGAAGCTTTTATCCGAAGTATATTTTTTATTTTATTTGCATATTATGATATTTCATTTTTGGCCAATTTTGGTATTTCACCCCTTGAATCATGCACTGACCACAAGAATATGAAAATACCAAAAATGGAGGCTTCAATATTTTCCGAATTTAACTCTACGTCAGAGCCAGTGGATTCTAGTAGTAGCAAAAATAGTACTGGTTATATCACGATAACCACATAACCAAATCTGTTCGAAATTTTTTATTTTAATTCTATAGTTATATAGAATTAAAATAAATAAAAAAATTTCGGTTATGTGGTTGTGTTATTGCTAGTTCTATTTTTGTTGCTATTAAAATCCGTATTTAAAAAATCCTACTTATTTGCTAATTTTGAAACGTGGAAATTATTTTATCAATAAAAAAAAAAGTTTTCAAAAATTTGATTCATTTTTCATTAGCTTAAAAATAGATGCCGTAGTAAAAGAAATGACATAGCTTCCACTATTAGAAATGCCGCCTTCACCGTCTTAAATATCGAGAGAGTAGATAATAATATATCTACCACAAGGCTTTCCGTGTGGAAGGCCTCAGAAGAAACCCGCACTGCCTACGACTCACTTTTTGAAAATGATGAGTTGATAACCTCAATTTGCCTTTTAGCTTTTAAACAATTCTGTGGCAAAACTATTCCTCTGATGCATTGTGCGTACACAATGTCAATCTGTGATATTCTTCTAAACCCTAAAGGTTCTAGTATAAAATGCACTGACAAATCAATCACAAGACGAGTTCATGTTTTTATGGTATTTTTTTGTTTATAAACTCAAACTTTCAAGAAAAAATCTAGAAATCTTGTAATTCATATATTTCAGGAATCATATGAAACAAATCAACCCATCTCTCAAGAAAAATATGCAGAAATCGCACGTATAGAAGAAGAAGCCGAAGCCACTAGAAAAGCCAAAAAAAGATCAAAAGTTGACTCCGTCGAAGAAGAAACAACAGAAGTCATTGATGATGATAATGATGACGACGATTATGATAATTTCGTAACTATAACTTCTTGTTTTTCTTTTTCTTTTTTTTTTCTGCATTCGAATTAATTGAATTAATTTTCTTTTTTTTTAAAAAAAAAAAAAAGGTCTCAAAATGTGATTCAATTTTCAATGGCAATCTATTCCCTGATCATCAATAAAAAAAAAAAAAACTTTTTTTTTTTATTTTAACATTTTGTATGTATTCCAGATAAAATTTTTCTAGTATCGCCAAGGCAAAAACTGATATTAAAGATGCGTTATTGATATTTCATGCATTATTATATGTAACTAGTGTTGTCATTAAAACATTTTAACAAAAAATACCAAATTTTACTCAAAATTTATTATGATAACTTACTCTAATTTTCTAAAAATATTCAGAACAATTCGGTGAACATAATCGTCTATTTTATATTTTAACTTTTTAAACATTTAGAGCTTGGACATGAACGATGTCCAAAAAAACTTTACCATATTTTACTTATATAGTATCGGTATATACGTAATTTCCTTATATTGTTATTAGCTATATTCATTTTAGTTGTGTATTCGTTTTTGCCCTGGCGATACTGTAATAGTTGGTTCATAAATCTTTACTTACCAGTAGATAATTTTTATGATAACTATTTGGTAAGCTTATATCAAAATTTAAAGGTTATATCGATAATTTATAATAATTGATGGTTAATTGATACTTATAAAGAATTCTGTAGAACACACAATGAAGATAGCTTATGAATATTCTGCGCAAATAGCGTGTGAAAGTGCTAATAATATTCGAACAGTTGCTGCTCTTACTTGAGAAAATAATTTATGGGAAAGATATTACAAACCTATGCGCCAATGGGGTAACTATGTAAATCAAAATTATATATGGTACGTACGTACGTACGTACTAAATAAAAATTAATATTGAAGATTTTTGGTGAAACAAAGTCAATTGATATGTTCTCTGATTGCAAATTTCAAATACTATGAAAATTCAATTAGATGTATAGCACTTAAAACTGGTTATTACCAATCCAAATTTTGCACACATTAAGGTTAAGTTTCAAAGAACAAAGTTACGAAGGCAGTTAAGTCTTTCAATTGAAAAATTTTTTAAACGAATGAAGTAGTGATTACACGTAAAAAAAAACCTGAAAAAAAAAGGGTTTCCCATAGATAATGTAAAAATAAACTTCGTAATTTTATAGATATGGTAACAACAAATCAATTAATATCAAAATAGTTTTACTAAAATGAAAAGATGTGACTTGCGCATCTAAAAAAGCGAGACCCAGTTTTTATATATAAATCATATTACATAAATGATCACTAATTAAAGTATGTAAGTGATCACACATAGTTTTGATTTACATAGTTTATCGCACACCCAATGCACCAAGGCTTTAAAAATGTTTTCTTGGCTTTATTCCCTTTGCTTTCGCCAACTGTGTCATCTTTTACATGGCGTCAATATGGTAGTTGTTAATATCCCCACATATTGCAAAACAAAATTAACTAAACGTCAACAAAAATCTCAACAAAACATGGTATATACTAGCAAATTGTATTAAGAAAAGCGCAAACAAACACATTCCACATAC